ATAGGTTCTTCTGCAGGATTTATATTATTTATTACATATGCACTTGCGTTGAGGAATTCTTGCAATCGTTCTTGTGAGGTACCATTGAATTCTGGAATTATTTTCCGTGCTTCGGATAACTGCATGTAACTACTTGCTCGAGATTGTCTATTTCTTACATCGTACATGGTTCGTCCGTATGTTACGTTCATATTATCTGTTCTTATAGGATGTTGTCTGTCCGCAGTTAGGGCACTCACTTGTTCAGTTAAGTGACACATTTGATGTTTCATTTGATTTATTATACCTAGCAAAATCTCTTCTCTATTTTGTCGTGTAATTTCGTCCGTTTCAATGCGATTCGCGTTGTTAAAATTTTGACTTCCCGAAGGATTTACTTCTACTCGCGGATTTCCTGTTTCATATTCATCTCTTAGCCTTTCTATTTCTCGGTCGATTTCGTTATGTCTTACTGTACGTGTTTCCCTATGAGGTGAATTGTTCATATTTGCTTCGTCTTTGTTATCCGATCGTTCAAATACTGAGCTGTCATAAGAGGTGAATTCACCTTGTGCAGATATATCACTAACAGAACTTGTTGAAGGTAACCGTATTCGCCTTCTAAATATTCAGGTATTTACGTTAGAATGTGCTAGTGGTATTAAACTAGTATCTAATTCCGTGAATGGAAATTCGCCCTCTATTACATGCGCGGGAGAGTCAATCGTGTGAGAGCTGTCGTTATTAAAATTCAAAGTACGGCGCACACTTTGGTCGATTAGTTGTCTTGTGTTGTCTATTAAACGAGGAATTTCAAAGTTATCTAACCCGGCGAGTCATCTTAAGGTTCTGGTTGCAGGCTCACTATGTAACCAGGTACGGTTTCTTGTCGGTTCGCGGGGTATATTGCTTCCTTCCGACATTCAATATGCGTATAGAGTACAGTATTTGTTTTGGACTTACATTATCGTCGTGATTCGCATGTTGTATACTTTTCTTTTGCTGTGTTGACGGTGTTTCTGGTACACGATCCGCTGTAGGTCGTTGCTTAGTGTCAAGGTTGAATCAGCTGGGAAGGTGGAATCAGCTGCCTCTGCTCCCTA